TAATGGGGGCAGTCCTTTCAGCGTTGTTGAGTGTTTGTTTAATAAGAAGAAGCACCTAAACACTATAGGAGTAACATTAATCGTGTGTCGGGAAGGTGGGAGGAGGGGGGGAGGGGATGGGTATATACAACCACAACGAGTAAGATGTGCAACATTTGGGGGATGGACATGCTTGAGGCTCTTGCTTGAGGGGGAAGGGGAGCATGGGCAATATGGGTAACCTAAACACTTGTACCCACATAATATGCTAAAATAAAAAAAAGAAGAAGAAGAAGCACCTGAACAGGACCAACTCTGGATATATAGGAAAATTGAGTTGAGGACAGTGTCAGGGACCAACTGTACTAGGCACAGCCAGCCAGCTCCGTCTCATCTTCTTTACATTCAGTCATGTTTAGACCTGGGGACCATCTGTGCTGTGCAATAAAAAGTTAAAATCCTTATGCCATAACAATAATTTTGAAATTTAATATATCTGAAGCCATACTCATAAAAATAATTAAACAAAAGCTCTCATTTAGAGTTGCAAAATTCATTTTTATTATTTTCTTATTATCTAACCTGTTTGGCGAGCAGCTTAGTCATGATCAAAATAAGGTAATATAGAGGGGAGCAATATGTAAATTGTAAAATTTGCTACACAAAAGAATCTTCTAATTAAGAGCTACAGTCTTCTTTTCTTCCTCAGAGGGAATAATCCTAAATCTGTTAACCTTTCTGAATAGGTTTTCATTTCCAAACACATGAATTCTTAATACTGTTTTTTGAAACTGCATTAAATTGTAGGCAGAAATATAGTCCCATGGTGATTCTTTAGATCTGACATGCCCGGCTACCAGGCCAGGACAGACTTCCTAGGCCTATCTCAGGCTGCCTGACTTAGGTTCCTAGTTTTTAGAGAGGTGGAGTACGTTTTGCTTGTTCGAATTCTCCTCGTTGTAGCATTAGGCTCAATCATGCTACCTTTCTCAATAGCTTTTCTTTGAAAGCCCTGAAAAAGTTAACTTCAAAATTATTTTAAATAATGAAGAATACTTTACATCCTCTCTACCATCCCCCCCCCCCAAAAAAAAACATGGCAAGTTTTAAGTCTGGAAAAAGCAATATTTTTTTCACTTACATCCAACTGTGAATGACTACTTGACTACTCACCATGCAAAACTGTCTTCAGGTCTCCGAATGACTGTCTAGAGACCTGTAAGTAGCTTATTTGTAGTTAGAACTTAATGATGTTATGTTATATTTAATTACTGTAAAATTTCTGAATTTTCCTTTTCCATATAAGATGGTACTAAATTAGCATCACTTATAGCATATAGTCATTGAACATCTTGCTTAATAGTGATTTGTTCTTGATCTGCTCACTCTCACTGCACCCTCTTTGAGAATAATACCATTTATCTGAATAATGAACAGTTGATGAGAATAACATTTATAAGAATAATAAACAATTGAACAAAGAACTGTTGAAGAAAAGTTTTTATCTTTGCATTATGCTAAATATTGAGGAAGGAGTTTAAGCTGATCATCTTGGCTTCTACATAAATAACTGAACAATTAAAATACTTACTGATTAAATGTTATGCTTAAAGTTCTTCCATAATAAATATGGCTTGTACTACACATTGTTGGGGTTTTTTTTGGTTTGTTTGTTTGTTTATTTTTGAGAAATGAGTATTTGCTATGTTGCCCAGGCTGGTCTTGAACTCCTGGGCTCAAGCAATCCTCTCACCTCAGCCTCCCAAGTACCTGGAATTACAGGTACATGACATTGTGTCTGGCTTACATTATTCACTTAATAGTAAATATTTATTGAGTGCTTACTATGTGCCAGGTACTATTCTTGGTGAATATCCTGTTCTTGTGGTGCTTACAAATTAGAAGTAGATGATGAACAATAAACTATTTACCCTGTTATTTGTGACAACATGGTTTAACTTGGAGGACATTATACTAAGTGAAATATTGTGTGATCTCACTTATATGTGGAATATTTTTTTTTTGAGACAGAGTCTCACTTTGTTGACCAGGCTAGAGTGAGTGCCATGGCGTCAGCCTAGCTCACAGCAGCCTCAACCTCCTGGGCTCAAGCGATCCTACTGCCTCAGCATCCTGAGTAGCTGGGACTACAGGCATGCACCACCATGCCCAGCTAATTTTTTCTATGTATATTAGTTGGCCAATTGATGTCTTTCTATTTATAGTAGAGATGGGGTTTCACTCTTGCTCAGGCTGGTTTCGAACTTCTGACCTTGAGCAATCCACCCGCCTCGGCCTCCCCGAGTGCTAGGATTACAGGCGTGTGCCACTGCGCCCGGCCTATACATGGAATTTTAAAAAGTTGAACTCAGAGAAGCAGAGAGTAGAATAATGGTTACCAGAGGCTGTAGAGGTGGGGTGTGTGTGTGTGTGTGTGTGTGCGCGTGTGCGTGCTGGAGAGATGCTGGTCAAAGAATACAAAATTTAGTTACATAGGAGGAATAAATCCAAGAGATCTATTGTACGACATGGTGACTATAGTAAATAACAATGTATTATATTTTTGAAAGGTGCTTTAAAAAGTAGATTTTCAGTGTTCTCACCATAAAAGATAAGTAGGTGAAGTAATGCATATATTAATTAGCTTGATTTAGCCATTCCATAATATGTACACATTTCAAAACATGTTGTATACAGTGAACATGAAGTTTTGTCTCTTAAAAAATAAATTTTAAAAAGAAAAAATAAACTATATATATGAAATACATAATATATAATGTATTAGAAGGTGATACGTGCTGTAGGAAAAAAATGAAAAGTAGGGCATAATAAAGCACTGAGAGTACTAGTTTGGGTGGTTTGCAATTTTAAACAGGGTGTTCAAAGTAGGTCTTGATAAATAGTTGAAATCTGAGAAGATTTGAAGGAGGTAATGGAGTTAGCCATGAAGATAGCAGACCAAGAGCATTCCTGGCAGAGGAAACAGACTGTTTATAGGTCCTAAGAGGAGAGCAAGCCTGGTGTTTTCAAGGGAAAGTTAGGAAGCCAGGATGGCTGGAGTGGAGTGAGTGGAAGAATAGCAGGAGAAGAGGTCAGAGAATTGGGCGGTGGGTAATGGTGGTAGAACAAGAGCCTATAAAAAGGAGGGCCATTGTTGGTAAGGACTTTGGCTTTACCATGGGGAGCCAATGGAGGGTTTTGATTAGAGAAGAACATGATCTGGCTTATGCTTTGAAGGGGCCACAGTGGTTCCAATGCTCCTAGACCATAAGGAGCAAGGATGAGATATATAGTATGAAGTACATGAAGTAGCATGAAGCTCCTGCCGGCATCTGGAGAAACGTTGATGGTGGTTCAGACTAGCATGGCTGCCGTAGAGATGGGGAGAAATGACTAGGTCAGCACAGTTGGCTGACAAATTGGACTGGAGTGTAAGAGAAGCCGCAGAGTCAAAAGGGACTCCGAAGTGTTTGGTCCAAGCACGGAGACATAAAGATGTTATTAACTTAAATAGGGGAAGCTAGTGGTGGAGCAGGTTTGGGAAAGAAAATTTGAGTTCTATGTTGGTCTTGTTGAGTTTGAGATGTCTGTTAGACATTGAAGTTGAGACATGGGGTAAGCAGTTAGCTATACAAGTCTGGAGAGAGGGCTAATTTGGATATGTCAATTTGGGAGAAGGATCAAGATGTCATTTTCAGGAGCCAATGCAAAATAAAAATGAGAGCTCCTTGGTAACAAATCATTAAGAATTTCAAGATGGTGACAGCAGAGCATTAAACCAAGCCCAGGGCCTTCTGCAGATGGGGCTTTGTGACTGTGCGGGTCTCCTTGTTTGGGTGTCGTTGGCTTATATATGATATTTAAAGACTGGACAAGGCCGGGCGCGGTGGCTCACGCCTGTAATCCTAGCACTCTGGGAGGCTGAGGAGGGCGGATTGCTCAAGATCAGGAGTTCAAAACCAGCCTGAGCAAGAGCAAGACCCCATCTCTACTATAAGTAGAAAGAAATTAATTGGCCAACTAATATATATAGAAAAAATTAGCTGGGCATGGTGGCGTATGCCTGTAGTCCCAGCTACTCGGGAGGCTGAGGCAGAAGGATCGCTTGAGCCCAGGAGTTTGAGGTTGCTGTGAGCTAGGCTGACGCTATGACACTCACTCTAGCCTGGGCAACAAAGTGAGACTCTGTCTCAAAAAAATAAAATCAAAAATAAAGAATGGACAAGATCTTCAAGGGAGTGAGTGTAGATGGAGAAAAGAAGAGGACCAAACAATGCCCCCCGGGGCACTCTGGCATTAAGAGATTGAGAAGACAGAGGAGGGGCTAGCAAAGGAGATGGAAAGTTTGGAGGAAAACTCGGAGAGTGTGGTGTCCTGGAAGCCAGTAGACAACAGGAGGCAGGAGCGATCAGCTGCATTAAATGCTGCTGGGAGTGTAAACACGATGAGATCAGGGAATCCACATGGGATTTAGCAACCTACAAACTTTTAGCAATAATACATTTTAATTTATTTTTTATAAGAAGCGAGGCAAAACTGGTCAGGGAGTATTACAAACCACAAAACTTTTGGGAATGATGGTGAAAGGAGTAGAAATAATAAAAAAAAAAAAACCCACAAAACTGTAATTACTGAAAACAATTTTTTGATACTATGTGGCAGCAAAGACATTGGATCATAGTAGTCCACATTTGTAGAAACTCCCCTGAAGTGTATCACATTCCTACCTATAATCATTGTTACATGAGCAATTTTATTTTACAATTTTGGTAAATTTGGGACAGATAAAATAATACAGTTTATATGAGATCAGAAGAGGATTTTCTGAAGTTTTCCCTCAATTTTTTGGAGAGTTACTTTTTTAGTCAATATCAAGTGTGTGTGAGGCCCTGATGATGTGTCTTAAAATAATATTTTGTAAAAAAAAATGTAGAATCCTTGAAAAGAGAATTTGCTTTTGAAATACCAATTATTCTCCCTTTCTTAGTTTGCATTTCTTGTCATGTTATCTCCAGGTGCTTTGGTAAGAGGCTGATATGGAAGGGCTTTGAAACAAGAAGAAAACTCTTCCCAACCTTGAAGGTAAGGTAATTTTAAGTATCAATCTGCAGGCATCAAGGGGGTTGTTCAAGAACAAAGCTTCATCTGTTGCTGGTTCTTATGCATTTTAATGCACTGCAGTCGAAGACTAAAGGGAAAAAAAAGTTTAACAAGCTTCTGACTTTGATTAAAACTCTTTTGTAGGGTTTTTCATATAAACATTTTACAACCCAGAGAGTTAAGTAAGGATGTTGTTTTTAGAAGAATGAGCCAAGCTTTGAAAAGCATGTTTTCCAGAAACCTAAAGCGTAGCTGACTGCATCCCAGTTTTAATGTATTTCTGTGGTTAACAGGATACAGCAGCAGGGGGCATCGAAGAGAGGGTAAGTTTGTACCTAGACAATCATTATAATTTTGTGTTAAATACTGAGTTTGCCTTTACAGAGAATAAATTTCAAATAGCAAAGAAAGTTCTGCAAGGGACCTCTACCACTCCCAGATCCAAGTTATCGTTGTCAGCCACCTTTACTGACTCCTTTGCCAATTATCCTGGATCTGCACAGAAATTCTTTTTATATGGGCATTTTAAGCACCACGAAGAGTGCATGATCAACTTTTAGAGAAAAGCAGTCTAGACTATTAGAACTTTGGTTATGTTTCTAAGATATCTTTTTCTGAAGAACAAGACTGTGCTCATTGGGATGAAATGAACAGAAACCCAGGACACAGAGGAAGACGAAAGACCGGAAAGGCGAAGAAGACAAGCAGGTGTGTGGATGAGGCTGCAGGATCCTGCTCCTACCTGCCTCCCTCCCCTCCCTTCACTGCGTTACAGCCACCCACGTCTTGTTTTTGTTCCTCTAACAATCCAAATACCTTTCTCGGGTGCCTTCTCTGTTACCTTATCTAAAATAGCACCCACTGCCATCGGTTGCATAATATCATTTTGTAGAGTTTAATCAAAGCCTGCAACACACTCTGTAGGTACCTTGCCTACCTAAATGTACCTCTGTAGGTACATTTTTTAAGTAAATGTTTTTTTCCCCATCTCACCCACTATAATGTGAGCTCTTTGAAGGCAGTGGCCTTGTCTGGCTGAATTACCAGTCCCTAAAACAGTGCTTGATCCTGAGGAGTGGTCCATAGTTTTTTGTTGAGTAAATGAACAAAGGTCATTTTACATGAGGATAAGCTCAAGCATCCAGAACTTTAGTATAACCTCATCTGTAATTTTTGGATGCCTAAATCTGCTAAGTTTTGAAACAGAGAACAGTCTCAATTTACTTGCTACTCTGTGTGACAGCTCAATTATAGGATTAATCAAAAAATAAATATACAGGCCATGCACGGAGGCTCAGGCCTGTAATCCTAGCACTCTGGGAGCCGAAGTGGGAGGATAGCTTGAGGTCAGGAGTTCGAGACCAGTCTGAGCAAGAGCGAGACCCTGTCTCTACCAAAAATAGAAAAAATTAGCCGGGCATGGTGGCACACTTGTAGTCCCAGCTACTCAGGAGGGTGAGGCAGGAGGATCGCTTCAGCCCTGGAGTTGGTGGTTGCGGTGAGCTATGATGATGCCACTGCACTCTGGCCTAGGGAACAGAGAGTGACTCTGTCTCAAAATAAATAAATAAATTTACAAAATGTGTTAACTATGTTACCGAGGGAGACTATAAGAGACAACCATCTTCCTCCTCTTTGCACATTCTTCAGAGCATAATGCATTATTTACTTATTTGAGATGACTGCCCGTGTTGCCTGGCTGGAAGAGCTTTTCTGTATTATTTCATAGGAACATTATGTTCAAGTTTACAGAGTCTAATTAGGGATAAGAGATTCTCCCATCATTTTGTGGAACTCTTAAAAAGTACTTAGAGCAGTAGTAGGCTTTTTAGGTTATATTGTTAGCTAGTTTCATACACTATGGAGAAAAATCTAAGAAGTTAAACTGCCAACTGTTACTCTGCCCTGGGTTCTCTTCATTGTAAACTTGGTTTTGGGGGGAAATTAAAACCTGCTTAAAAACAGTTCACATCCTGGTCCATAGTCTGTATTAGGAGTGAGATTTTGTTGACAACCCTTTCCTTTTCCCCACTGGGAATCAGGGCAGTGGCCTGTATCAGGGCACTTTTGTTCTTAAGTAAATAACTCTCTCTGCTCCTACCTTCGATAGCATATGCCCCAGATGGTTCTTATCATAACAGTGACTTTTCAAATTGTAATTGATACATCTCTACATCTGCCACTACAATGTATTAGACATAATTCTTAACACTTTTTGTGATTTGGCATCAATGTGGTTATCCATAATCCATTGAATGAATGTCGTCTTGTTGTCCAGGCACTGAGCATGGAAACAAGTGGTGGTAAACAAACAGACACATGGTTGTTCTAGTCTGTGACAGAAATGTCATGCCTTGAGGAGATGAAGCAGGTAGAACTTAACCCCTCTTTTTCCTGTCTACTGCCAGTTTACTGTCCTACCTTGATTCAGAGTTCTGCTGTCTTCTCCCTCACTGATGCTTCTGAAACTGTGTAGTTTGTAGGGCTGGGTTCTTCCACATTGCATGTGATTTTTCTGGATTTGGTGGTGATCATATCTTCTTTCTTGTTGGTACCTCTCTTCTCCATGGTAACTTTTTGAAGCCGCCAAAATGATGTGACTTTTTATTCTCTTCCTCTTTGTTCAGCCACTCCTGCATGGTTGCCAAGGGAGACCAGATAAGTAAGTATTAAGGGTAATATTAATTGAAATGTTCTGTGTCTAGATAGAGACAAAGTGCATGACTTGTATGACATCTATTTTAAACTGGCTTCGGGCTCTTCCTGCATTTACCTTAGGCTTTTTATCAGGCTCGGAGATGTCCCAGAGTTGAGGTTCCTGGAGTCTAAGCACCAGAGGAGATAGTCCAGACAATGTTGCTGGGGGAAACGGGGGAAGGGCAAAGCATTATGGCATATTTAAGATGGCCCCTTAAAAAAAAGAGACTATGATATGAATAAGGACAGGCCTAAATGTATTTTTTCATTCATTCTTAGCAGCTTCTGCTACCAATTCCCAAGAGGTAAAGAGCTAGTGGGAAAAAACAGTCACTCCCTGGATAAAGTCAGCTAACTTCATACTGCCCATCTTCCACCTTCAATGAGCTCGTCAGTTCCCTCTTGGTTCCCAAGTTCTCGATATCTTTAGTTCTGTAGCGTGATTTGCTCTTTCACATTGTGACAGTTATTAACTAATTTTTGCTCCAAACCCATCATTCTGTTCTCTGCTTTGTGTTGCTTGGCTGTGCAAACCACATTTTTTGCTTTGTCAGATACTCCCCGTTAGGGTTTGATAATAGGGGATGCAAGAGGGAGACTAGAAGGCTGGAGGAAAAGGGACTTTCTCCTTCTTTTTTTTTTTTTTTTTTTTTGAGACAGAGTCTCGCTCTGTTGCCCACGCTAGAGTGCTGCGGTATCAGCTTAGCTCACAGCAACCTCAGACTCCTGGGCTCAAGGGATCCTCGTGCCTCAGCCTCCCGAGTAGCTGGGACTACAGGCATGCGCCACCATGCCCAGCTAATTATTTTCTTTCTATTTTTAGTTGCCTGACTAATTTTTTCTATCTTTAGTAAAGACAGGGTCTCGTTCTTGCTAGCAGGCTGGTCTCGAACTCTTGAGCTCAAGCGATCCTCCTGCCTCGGCCTCCCAGAGTGCTAGGATTATAGGTGGGAGCCACCGTACCTGGCCTCTCCTTCTTAACCGTCACCACAGCAATGGTCCTTCATCTTGACAGTGAAAGTTGATTGCTGTGGCACCGTCTGGTTTCTATTTGCAGTTATTCCATATTATGAATATCAGCCTTACTGCACCCACTCAGAGATACTAACACAAGCTGATCACTGGTCTTCCTCAAAGGACTAAGTCCCACTCTATAGGGCTCCTGTTGCAAATATCTACACTTTAATAATTTCAGCATCTTCCTGTTGTCCTCTAAGAGCAGTGCTTGTCTCCTGCAATTACTATCTTTGTGATACTTTAGCTTCCATGCTCGAATTTTCAGTTCTCTACAAATGACTAACGATTCTTTGTGTTAAATTCTCTCTTTGAAATAATTTGTTTAGTTTCTCTCTTTTGAACTGGATTCTCATTGGTGCACATGTACCACCTTATCCCTTCCATGAGAAGTACGAGAGGTTTCTGGCACACTAAAAGTATGTAGAGGATGGCCAACACCCATATCGGTGGACCCATAGCTCCTGTATTCCAGGTGAGGGGCATATGCTGTGTGTAGCATAAGGCTCTCCTGTTCAGATAGGGACTGAGTGGTGTATAGTCACTGATTTCTAAAACATAGAAAATTTCTGTGAGTAAACTCAGCCTAGTGCAGAAGACATGATGATAGCATGGGGGAATGACATATTTTGCTACCCACTGAGTTTTCTTTTTGGTTTTCCAAGATAACTGAGTGGACCCAACGGCTGAGGCTTGGGAGCTCAGCTGTCTGGTTCTGTAGCCCAGCTGTCATGGAAATTTGTACCTAACTCTTGTCACATGGTTATTGAATAATTATTTGAGTAATTTTTAAGTGTTCATTTACTGGACTGGGCCGCTTCTTGATGGCAGAGACTATATATATTTTGTCCTTTTCCACATTTCCAACTTATGGCACAGTGCCTGGCCCAGTGGTATTAGAAAATATGTGTTGAATGAGAAACAGGAGGAAAAAAAGATAATTTAAGCTCTACATACTTGGTAGGCACCAACAGATCTAGATGTCCAGGACCTCATTTTCCTCTAAACTTCCTTTTCTTCTCTTGTTTAAAGCTACCCACCAATCAGGGATAGAATTTAGGGAATGAATTGGTACATATCACTTGTTTTCATTTTATTTCCCCTTCCAAGCAATATTACCATAAAAGAGGACTTTAAGATTTCTAGTACCAAAAATATAGTAGACCTGAAAACCTTTCAGCTAAAAACACCTAGGGATCCTTTTGTTATGACAGAGGGGTCTATTCCTCATTCTGCAGAAAACATATCTTGCTCTTACTCTGGAAACCTATCTTGTCCTTCCTCAATAAACTTCGTTTTGTGCTTGCAAAACCCAAAACAAAACCCCCTAGGAATGCTAGATAACACTTAACAAGTATTGTTTTATTTTATTTATTTATTTTTTTAAATTTCAGCATATTACAGGGATACAAATGCTTTGGTTATAGAAATTGCCTTTGCACTGCTCGAGTCAGAGCTACAGGCATGACCATCCCCCAGACGGCATGCACTGCATCTGTTAGGTATGAATTTACCCATCCCCTCCTCCTCCCTCCCACCTGCCCCACACCCTATGAACATTACTTCCCATATGTGCACATTAGTGTTGGTCAATTAGTACCAATTTAATGGTGAGTACATGTGCTGTTTGTTCCCCCATTCTTATTTTAATTTTTTTTTTATTATTATTTAAGCATATTACGGGGCTACACATATTTAGGTTACGTATGTTGCCTTTGCCCCACCCAGGTCAAAGCTTCAAGTGTGCCCATCCCCCAGACGGTGTGCACCGCACCCATTAGGTGTGTCTATATACCCATCCACTCCTCCCCCTCCAACTTGCCTGACACTGATGAATGTTATTACTATATGTGCACATAAGTATTGATCAGTTAATACCAATTTGATGGTGAGTACATGTGGTGCTTGTTTTTCCCTTCTTGTGATACTTCACTTAGTAGAATGGGCTCCAGCTCTGTCCAGGATAATACAAGAGGTGCTAGATCACCACTGCTTTTTGTGGCTGAGTAGAACTCCATGGTATACATATACTACATTTGATTAATCCACTCATGTATTGATGGGCACTTGGGGTGTTTTCACATCTTTGACCTACCTGATAAGGAACTCCAGGTCACCTCTTTGCCTTAAGCCAGCAAGAAGCTGGAGCCCTTTACAACCCCAAAGAAATGAATTCTGCCAACCACCTGAATGAAGTTGGAAGCAGATTTTTCCTCAGTTGAGCCTCCAGATGAGAACACAGCTCAGCTGACACCTTGATTGCAGCTTTGTAGAGGACCCAGCTAAGCCCTTCCTAGGCTCCAGACCCACAGAAACTGTGAAATAATAAATGTGCATTGTTTTAAACCCCTAAATTTGTGTGATTTTTATGTAGCAATAGAAAACTAATACAATCTGCATAGTTACAGAATTTTACTACTTTTTATTTTGTAGAGAGTGATTTTCCTAACTTATTTTCATACTTACCATACTGTTTGAGTTTTAGGAAGTGAAATATTCCGAGATCAGCAATTTTACAGTGTAATCATAGGAACAATATGACTCTAGGGAGCTCACAAGAAAAGCATTTTTAAAAAATGATCTCATGCCAGCAATTCCTCTCTTGGGAATCTGTCCATAGAAATAAAAGCCCATTCAGTAAGTGAGGATAAACGTATAAGTGTTTTTTTAATTGCATTGTAGTGGCAAAAGAACCGGAAACAAATTTTTAATAGCTATCGTCAAATTGCTCTGCAAAAAGGCTGTTAAAATTCACATTTCCACCAGCAATGTGGAAGTGCCCTTTCCCCATCTTCCTGCCTGTCCATCTCTATTAGTTTGTTAGGGCTGCTGTAACAAAGTACCACAGACTAGGTGGCTTAAACAACAGAAATTTATTTTCTCACAGTTCTAGAAGCTCAGAGTCTGAAATCAACATGTCAAAAGATTGGTTTCTTCTAAGGTCTCTCTCTCTGGCTTGTAGTTGGCTGTCTTCTCCCTGTGTCTTCGCATGGCCTCTCTCTCTTCTGTGTCCAAATTTTCTCTTTTTCTAAGGACACCAGTCGTGGGCTTAGGGTGCACCTTAGTGACCCCATTTTAGGTTAATTACTTCTTTAAAGACCTTGTCTCCAAAAACAGTCACATTTAGAGCTAAAGGGGGTTAAAATCTAAACTAAATTTTGGGGGTGACACAATTCAGCCCATAACACCATCCTTATGGCTTAGCTTAAATATCACTTCCTCAGGAAAGCCTTTTCTGACCCTCAGAGAGATTTACATCCCTCTGTTACATGTATGCATGTATATATTTACATATGTGTGAATATTTACATATTGGTGTGAATATTTACATATGTGTAAATATACATGCATGCATATGTATCATACATAGATACATGCATATGTACACATATGTGTATGTGCATCTAACTGCATTTCTCCTTTGTGACATATTGTAGTTGTAATATTATTCCATTTTTTTAAAAGAAACAATGATGACCCTCCTTCATGTATATATTTGTACATTTGCACGTAATTATGTGAATATGGAGAAAGGTATAGAAGGATACATTCTAGATTGGTAACATTGGCTACATGAGCATTGAAGGGGAGTGTATGGTAAGGAGAATGGGAAAGATGTAGCTAGCAAATAAACAAAAAAATCAACAACAAAAACTTGCAAAAATATGGTGTTCATATGGCATAAGCATGTATGCATAAGTAATATAATGCAATTTATTATTTTTAAAGTTTTTTTCATTGCTTAGTTATTATATAACAAAATCCTAGTAACACAGAGCAATATGCATTCATTTAGCTTCCACATCTGGGCTTGGCTGAGCTGGCAGGGAAGGCTTTGCTGGATGTGGTTTTCCTCCTCTTCCTGGGATCAGCAGGCTCTCTTGGCAGGCTGTGCTCATGGAATGGCAGAAGCTCAAGAGGTCAAGTTGAAACATGAGAGCCATCTATGGCGTAGGATTGAAACTGGCACATTGTCCTTCCTCCTCATTCACTGGCCAAAGCCAAGTGACCAAGTCAAAGGGTGGGGAAGTCCACTCTACTCATGGATGTCAGGGTAGGAAGTTAATATTTCTGAGTAATAATCTAATCTTCAACAGTTATATGAATATATATTTATTATCATTATTATTTCTTTTACACCATCCCTCCTCCCACTCTGAATATATATTTAGAGGCACACATTTCTATGTACTCATAAAGAGTTTTATGAAAGGATAGGCTCGAAAGGAATGAGAGTTATCTGAACATGGTAGAGTTTGAAGTCATTTATACATTTTGTTCCTTTGACTTTAAGTGTTTAATTTTTTTTTGCCATGCATACACTGTTTGTATGAGCTAATAAATGACAATAAAGATATTTTATTGGAGAACGAAAAGTAATTTTTCAGATAAAGGGAATGATGGGGACAGGGAAGGGCAGTCTAGGCAGAGAAAGCCCTCCAGAGTCAGGCTAGCTTTGTACACAGCCACGAATCCACAAATAACTTAAGTAATAATTTCTGACTTTGCCGACATCGTTGTGGTCATTATGCAAAATCATTGAGTTATGTAGAACTCAGTTATAACCTGGCATATTCCCATGCTAATTC